GTAATTCTGGCATATTCCAGTTATACTCCCGTGGCATTTTCTTTTCTTCGGGGACTTTTTCTTCTTCTTTTTCTTCTTCAGGATTATATGAATTACAGAATGGATGTTCAACATGTTCATTCACAGTCGTAACTTCCTCCTCATTATCATCAACAACATCTTCCTCGGCAACGGGTGTTTCATCATCAAAATTCGGGTATTGACCAATATCAAAATCATTACACGCAGGGTCTGTTTCTTCTTCTGAAACATCATCAAAATCCGTGTATTGACCAATATCAAAGTCCGGGTATTGACCAAGATCAAATTTCGAATACTGACTAGTACTCACAATTTTTTCTCTTGACTCATCATCGTCTAATTAGTTACCGGTATCAATATCCGTGTATTGACCAATATCAACTGCGGTCTTAGCCCAAAGGGTATTATCCACAATTGTTTCCGGTAGTTGTCTCCTCTCCACTTCAGATACCGGAAGGGTACTAGCCGGTAACTCATACGAGAGCCAACTCTCATCCATCATGTCCGGAACCGGTGGGGGTTTCTCAATACTTCGATATATTACCCCATGTGAATCGGGCTCTGGAATGGTGGGAGGGACCTCTTCAACGATGACAGTGGCCTCTTGAACGGTGGGGGGGATTCTTGAGGGAGAATAGGGGCCTCTTGAACGATTGGAGGGGACTCTTGAGGGATGACCAGTGAGTCGGGCTTCTTCTTGCGGAGTCTTCGCACCATTGGGGTGAACGGAGACGTAATAGCACGTCCACGCCGTCTGATGCGTGAACTCCGTCGTGCAAGGAAAACCCGACGTAAAGCATCCACCTTATCGGGCCGCTAAAAAAAATTAATACATAAATCAGTAAATAAACAGACATGATATTAAACAAAGACAAATATGTTTCAAACTAGCATTGCATTCACCCAAATCATTATTCTATCATAGTTCACAAAATGCTCAGATAACATTCCAGAAGTAAGCACTTATATAAACATTTAAAAGGACAACATATATAAACATTCCAGAAGAAGAATAGTTTACTTTCGCAACACGAAACTTAAAATCGCAACGCGAAATGACTATCGCAACGCGGAAATGGCTATCGCAATGCGAAATGAAAATCGCAACGACAAAATCGCAACGCGAAATGAAATCGCAACGACAAAATCGCAACGCGAAACACAAATCGCATTGCGATTTTCATTTCGCGTTGCGATTTTGTCGTTGCGATTTCATTTCGCATTGCGATTTTGTCGTTGCAATTTTCATTTCGCATTGCGATAGCCATTTCCGCGTTGCGATAGTCATTTTCGTGTTGCGAAAGTAACTATTCTTCTTCTGCAAATTGAAACTTGAATGGATTGCATTACTTCAACCAAAAGACAAAAACAAAACCAAAAACAAATACTAACAAAAACAGTTTAGCAGTATTGGCAGCAACCGAATGAATTACGAGTATGAAAAATCTTAAACTTACCTCGTTGCGTAGAGTATGAACCTCATTCTGCAACGATGCTACCATCTCACGTAGAGCGGCTACCTCACCGCGTAATGTAGATACCTCAACACGCCATGCACCATCGTCTTTGCGTAAAGTACCGACCTCCTCACGCAAGGCATTGACCTCATCACGTAACTCCCCTAACTCATCCCGTTGAGGTGGAGGTGGAGAACAGGGAGATAAACATCGTGGCATATTTGTCGGTCGCCTATCTTGCGGTGATGGTGGAGAAGAGGCTCGATGATGTGACAGAATAGGTGATGGCTGTCGTTGTGGAGGTGTATAGCCGGGTCGATCAGATGATGGCTCTGGGTGAGGTGATAGCTCTGGGCGAGGTGATGGCTCCCGAAGTGGAGGCTGCTCATCAACCGTTCCATAAAAAAAACGCTTACTAGCTTGCCACCAATCAGTGGCAAGCTCAGCTTCCGTGGGTGTCAGCCTCTGTAGAGGAGTGTTGGCCTCCTAACAATATAAAAGCTCAAACAAAGTTAAACGTGTACTAGTAATAACTTGTTTATAAACATATGGTAGTATTTATGTTAACTTACATTATTTATTGTCGTATACCGTAGTAAATCTTCCCATTGCAAGGTCCGTTTCCTCTTTCAGGAAATAGCCCTGGGAATATCATTTGAAGTTTTTATTGCATATGTCTTCATGGCGGGAAAGGCCTCAAATATCCAAATCTACAAACAATATAATAACAATCATTAGTAATTGTTAAATAATTACTTATAATTTTGGAAACATCATATCAAAATTCTTACCTTAAAGGCCCAAATAAAGCCTGTCAAAGTGTATTTGGAACCATCACCATGCAAACTTTTTCGATCATCCAAGGCAGACGATAACTTATTCCATGTAGCTTTCCATAAATACGAGCCCCACGGAAACAGGTTCCACGCATTTAGGTCTTCTACCAATTTGATTAGATCATTTGGAATAGGTTGTCTGGCCTCTCTGCCTAAAAAGCCGGCATGCAAAAGAATTAGAAGGCATACTCGGACAACGTCGACGTCATCCATCCGAGTAAAACCATCTTTATTATTCAAAAATCTTGTCAGGTCTTCTACGTGTAGACTCGGCCTCTCCAGCTCAGGAAAAACCCGGGATAGCCATGATGGGCGGGTAATGTGTCTAGTGTACCGACCTATATCATCGTGTCCGAAGCGTAGACCGGTGATTAAGCAAAACTCCTCCCGCCCAAAACACGTATACGCCGGTGGAAAATCAAACCATATCTCTTCATCACGACGTTGTATAGTCTCTGGTAGATCGCTAGTCATGGTTTGAAGAAACAGGTGTGTCAACATCGCATCTCCACCGGGATGTTGTACTTTCAGCCATGGCCCGAAGCATGTATCCTCAAACATTTTTCTTTGTGCAGGTGAAAGCTTCGACGCAATTGTTTTGGCCAGGCTGACTTTATTTCTCAAGGTCAATTGAGCCGAATAAAAGTTCTACAAAAACAATAAACATACTAAATTAGATATACCAAAAACTACACTGTGAAGATATACCAAAAACAATAATAAACATAAATAGTAGTAGTTTATTCTTCAAACTTAAATATGCAACACTGTGAATTTCGTATTTGTCTTTGTTTTTGGTTGAAGTAATGCAATTCATTCAAGTTTCAATTTGCAGAAGAAGAATAGTTTCTGAAAATGAAAATCGCAACACGAAAATGACTATCGCAACGAGAGAATCGCAACGCGAAACTAAAATCGCGTTGCGATTTGCATTTCGCGTTGCGATTCTTAGTTGATTTAATAAGCAATCTAAGTGAAATGGTTAATCTATTATTGAAATTACCAGTAAACTTATCATCAATTTCAATATGAAAAACCTAATAATAATGCAAAAATTTCAAAAAGAAAATAATTAAAAAAACTAACCCTCGTTGGTTGATTTGGTTGATTTTCCATTTCTGATTGTGAGGGTGGCTCTGAGAGATTTAGATAGACGGATTTCGCCGGAGATGGGGACGGATTTCGTCGGAGATGGGTGAGAGAGTGAGAGATGGAGATGGGACTGAGTTGTGATTTTAGGTTTTAGGTTATGAGTTGCGATTACGGGATATACTGTGGACAGTTCAGTGTTCTAATATATTAATATTCATGTTTGGAATTTAAAAATAAAATACTTGGCCAGGATACTAATGGCGCTTTGAAAATCGCATTGCGATTATGTATTATCGCGTTGCGAAAGTCAGTATCGCGTTGCGAAAGTAAGTATCTCGTTGCGAGTTTTTATTATCGCATTGCGATAGTCAGTATCGCATTGCGATTTTCCCAATTCGCGTTGCGATTTACTTATTCGCATTGCGATTTTCCCAATTCGCGTTGCGATTTACTTATTCGCATTGCGAATTGGGAAAATCGCAACGATACTGTAGACCATCGCAACGCGATTTTCAACTATCGCATTGCGAAAATGCAACGCGAATTTACGATAATGGAGATCGCATTGCGAATTAGCGATCGCATTGCGATTTTGTTGGTCATTTTGGCAAATCCGAAAAAAGTTGGTTAAAATCGTATATTATATAGGATTTTTGGTCACTGAGGTTATTTTCTCTTTTATTTATTCTATTTCTGTGCGTCAGCAAGCTTTATCATTTCTATTTTCTTTTCCCGATAAAAGGAATAGTGCCCCAAATTCTCATCTGCTCTGCTTAATGAGCTTATGATATTTAAATTCATTATTTCGTGCATCTCTCGCTCTAATAATTAAGTTAGCATTCCATTGAAAACCAAAAATGTTAATTATCCACATGTGATTTCATTATCCGCTTCAAACACAATTAAGCTATAAATTATCCTTACTTTCAAGTCTAAATTAGAAAGTTGATTATCTTTTTATATATCCAACATACGTTATAGGTGATAGGGTACCCCCCCCCCAAACTTTAATAGCTTAATTGTTTTTAAGTTATTAGTATTTTTAAATATTAATCATTCTTCAATTTTTCAAATAAAATTATATTTTGATATCTATTTTTCATTTAATTATATTTTAAAAACTTAATTTTAAAATTATTATTTTTGGATAATTCTATTTCATTACTCAAGAAGCAGAAAATCTGCTACAAAATACAGAGTCAATAAACATCATATTTAAGCAAAGCCATGAAAGCAATCTAAACTAACCTAGATTATATGTAAAGCAAAATAGTGAAACAAGTTCTGCTTAAGGAATGTCCCACTTGACACAGAGGACAGTGTTGGACGAGTCTGTACTGTTGAAAGACATGTCCTCCAGCCGGATTCGAATGGTCTATTTAATGTCTCCCAGCACGTCTTCCTTAGATCTTATTCCTCTCCCAAATAATATATTGTTCCTTTCGTTCCATACGCCATACACATGGCTAGTCCAAGCAAGCTTGAGAACTCTCACAATGAGAGATTTACCTTTAAAAAATCGAGTAGCCCCGACCAGCTCACCATCCCAGCTGTTAACTCTACGGGAAATGCCATACAGTTCAAGAATGGATCCTCATAGCTCTTTAGCAAAGCTACATTCAAAGAATAAGTGATCTCTTGTCTCTGCCACAATGCCACATAGTAAGCATTTGTCAGTTTCAATGGTTAAGCCCATTTCCACGAGTCTTGCCCGAGCAGGCAACCTATTAAGCATAGTCATCCATGCTATGATGTTATATTTAGGAATGCGCCCAGGGAACCAGACCAAGTGGTGCCAAGATACTTTAGGGGCAGTAGCGCGCAAATCATCCCAGACACGCCTCGCATTTAGATAACAAACCTGACTCGAGAAAAGGTGAGCAACATCAGGCCTAATTTTCAGCAAGTATTTGAACCTCCAGCTAGCATTTGTAGGGATTTTCATCTGCCAAAAATCAGCATTTCTAATCACATAGGAGTGCATCCAAGCTACCCAAAGCGAGCCTTCATTAGCCAAAAGATTCCTAATTAGCTGCACAATGCAAGACTTATTCCATCTTCCTACATCTTGTAAACCCAATCCCTCTTCAGATTTCACTAGGCAAATTATCTTCCAACTAACTCTTGCACCTTTAGCAGGCACATCAGACCCCTTCCAAAAGAATCGGGAGCACAGCTGCTCCACTTTCCTGATAATTATATGTGGCAATATAAGTTGCTTGCACCAATAGTTCGAGATGCTAAACAAAACAGAACGAATGAGTTGTAGCCTCCCAGTAAAGCTAAGATGTTTATTAGCCCATAAACTCAGCTTTGCCCGTAGTTTATTTATGAGAGTTTGACAATCTTCACAGCTAATTTCCTGGTAACCAGTGGAACTCCCAGATATCTGAATGGGAGGCTACCCAAATTGAAGCCAATGATTTCTTTGATGACGATGCTCTGTTCGGCAGGAATACCAGCAACATACATCTCACACTTGCTGGCATTCAACTTCAAACCTGACATGGAGTAGAAGTGATCTAGGACAGCCTGTACCCCCATGACAGAATTAATGGAACCCTTGCAGAAAATAAGCAGGTTATCTGCAAAGCAAAGGTGAGTGAGTCCAATCCTCTTGCACTTAGGATGATAACTAAAGACCCCTTTTAAAGCAGCCACATTCAAGAGGTTTGAAGGTATATTCATGGAAAGAACAAAAATGTAGGGTTATAGGGGATCACCTTGCCTCACACCTCTAGTCCCTCTAAAGTATCCAACAAGACTAACATTGAAAGCAATAGAGTACCTAGGATTTGTAAAGCAGGCCCATGTCTAGCCAATGAACTTATCAGGTAACCCCAAAGCATGCAAGATCACATCTATAAACTCCCAGTTTAAAGAATCAAAAGCCTTTTGCAAGTCTATTTTAAGAGCACATCTAGGGGATATTTTCTTTCTTGAGTAACCCCTAACAAGTTCTTGGGCTAGTAAGGTATTGTCCACTATGCTTCTCCCTTTCAAAAATGCAGTTTGGTTCATAGATATCATACCAAGAAAGATAGAAGAAAGTATATTCACTAAAATTCTAGTGACAGTTTTGTAAACAACAGAGCAGCAAGAGATGAGTCTAAAATCTTTTACTAAGCTTGGATTAGGGATTTTGGGAACAAGCATAACAGTCGTTGCATTGAATGATGGGAGCATAAAATAGTGATCAAAACAGTACCTGATTGCTGCCAGAAAGTCTTCTCCTACTACAGACCAAGCTCTCTTGAAAAAGAAAACATTATAGCCATCTGGATAAGGGGACTTGTTGTTCCTTTGTCCCCACAAGACCTCCTTAATCTCAACATCAGAGACATCCTTGCATAAGGTGTCTGCTGTATCCCTTGGCAAAGAATAACTAAGTAAATCCTTGATGGTGCTGACATTATAACCCTTTACCTCAGGGTCAACCACCCCTAGCTGATTCACAAAGAATTCAATCAATTCATTAGGAATGTCTTCGAAGGTATCAAGTCTTTCACCACTTTGGTTGAATAAGACTCTAATTGTGTTGATTTTTCTTTTTTTTGCAACCATAGAGTGAAAAAACTGAGTACCCTGGTCACCATCTTTAATCCAATCCACTTTAGCTTTTTTCTTGTAGAACATCATCTCAGCCTCCTCGAGGGCCTTTATTTCCCTTTCAGTTTCCAATTCAGCATTAATATTTCTTCCAGCAATAGATGGATCAAGATTGGCAAGCTGCAAACTCTTCAATTTCTCCCTTTTAACCCTTACTTGCCCCGAAATATCATTGTAATAGTTCCTGTTTAGCTCTTTAAGGCATCTCTTCAACCTTTTAAGCTTTAGATAAAGTGATTGTATTGGGATGGCATTAACCGGGGTCTGCCATGATTCCTTGACAATGGATATGAAATCAGGGTGCATAGCCCAAAAATTAAAAAACTTGAATGGCTTAGACTTAATAGCAAAGACTTCTTTATGCAGCCAGACTAATGCTGGATAGTGATCACAATCACCAGGGGCCTGAAATTCAACATCAGAAGCTGGAAATGCATTAATCCAGTTTGGATTAACAAGAACCCGATCCAACTTGCGTGCCAGGAATGTATCTTGCTACTTATTTTTCCATGTGAACAAATGACCTATGTAAGGGTGATCAAACAACCCCAATCCCTCCACACAGCTCTGGAATTCAGAAATATCAGCCAAGGTACCATAGTTAACTTGTGCAGAGCTTTCCTCAGCTTTTACGATGGTATTGAAATCACTACCTATTAACCAAGCCATATTTCCCATAGAAGCTTCCATAGAGCTAAGCTGAGTCCAAAGTTGTCTGCGAGTGGTGTTATCATTCGAACCATACACTACAGTAATAAAAAAATCCAGTTCCCCCAGAACAAACCTCAAGAGTAATGCTTTGATCAGATGTAGAACTAATGGTGCAGTCTACATTATTTTTCCAAAGGACCCAGATACGACCATTATTAGCATGCCTGTAGTTACAACAGTACTACCAGTCATCAAACTTCTTTGACAGAATAGCTATGGAGTTAGTCTCCTTCACTCTAGTTTCCAAGAGACATAGGATACTAATTTGACTTCTAATAGCCCAATTCAGAACCTTACATTGCTTGAGGGGACTATTAAATCCCCTTATGTTCCAAAAACAAATTAGCATGAAACATTAGTGGATGAAGAAACACCACCTCTTCCTCAATTCTTTTGGCTTTTTCCACATGCTCTTTTTTCTTCAATTTCAGATCCTGCACTAGCTTTGCCACACCCAAAGAAGCACCTCTCTGTTTTTTTCCTGAATCAACATCAGAGATTTCCAACAGACTATCAGGGTCAATAGCATTAAGGATTTCAAATTTATTCCTTGAACCTCTTCCAGCAACCCTACCCTCCTTAGCAAGTCTTCCTCTACCTCTCTTAATAAGAGGGTTACTTTGCTGCTCAGCCTGTTTAACCACATCCACAATGACAGCTAAATTATTTGCAAGGCAGTTTCTATCTGGCACTGAGTTGGCAGCATAATTATTTTTAACAATAGCATCAACAACTTTAACCTGGTCATTCTGTATAGTCACCTGAACAGGATTTTCTATGCCAAAGCTAATCCCTTCTAGTGCTTCACTAGTGGTAGTGGCTATAACACAATCTACATCTCCGGTAGCCTCACCACTAACAGAAGGAACATCCTGTTTAGCATCCTTCACAGGTCCTTTAACTCTCCAGACCTACTCAATTCTTTTCCCCCTAGGGTAAAGTCTCACAGAATGCCCAAACCGCCCACAGTCAGTACAAGAAATTAATATCCAGGGAACCGAGACCCTAATTTTTGCCACTGATTCATCACTCAGGACAACATCAATATGATCCTGAATTGAAGACCCAGCAGGAACCTCAACACATAATCGAGCATATTCCAATCTTTCCCTAGCAGCTGTAATTGAATCCATATGGAGAGGCTTCCCTACAACGCTTGCAATATAGCTAAGCCCCCTATTTGAGAAAAGTTCCAGTGGAACATTGAATAAGTGAATCCAAATAGGCATGCGACACAAATCGAATTACAATTCTTTCAGATTAGGCTCCTACTTCCTAAGGAATATCAATTTATGTTGTACATGCCACAGACCGTTTTCTAAAACCCAGTCCCTAGCATTCGAATTAGCGAAAGAAAAAACAAATAGGTTTGGCCCAGCAAGACTTACCTTAATCGAAGAAGCCTTACCCCATAACAGCATAACAATCTTCTTGATGGAGCTAAAATTTGGAGCCGAACCTATAAATTGGCCAACTAATGCATGTTTCCAGTCCAAAATCCCTTCCTCAAACACGTCTTTCAACGGCTTCACTACACACGAGCCCTCAATCACCGCTGGTGGAAAAAATTCCAATTCCTGATTAATCCCCGCCGTAAAGAGTTTTCGTGAGTTAGTAAGAGCTTCGCCTGACATAGCCCAACAAAACCCCTAAAAACAGTCACATAATCAATGGAGAGAATCACACAATCAGATGAAAATAGCTTCGCCTTCGCTCGCTGTTAGGCCGTCTATCATGCACCGAGAGAGAAGGCGTCTTGTTGATGTTGTATTTTTATTATAATGAACGTAAACTTTTATGTTACAATTATTTCTATTTTAATTCTAATTTTAAAATTAATTAAATTTAAACTTAACTGTTTTAAATTTTATAATTTATTTAATTTTAAAGACTATTTATTTTAAAGTTAAATAATCTTTCCTAGTTCAATCTCGACTCCATCTTTATATATATTAGACTGAATGACTTTAAACATTTAAAATAATAATTTAATCTTTCTCTTTTAATTTTTTTTTGCCAAATTAAATCAACTAACTAACAAAATAAGAAATTAATTAAGTTTAGGCTGGTTGTTTGATCTTCTTACCAATTTTTATAATATTAATATTCTTTATAGTTAAATATTTTTAATTTTTATTTTCACATTAAAATAAAATAATTTTTTTGATTAAGGAAATAAATTAGTTGATGTCAACATTAACATAAATACAAAATAATCAGCAAAAACTCGGGCTAATATTTGTAAATGAAGTCATTAATGACGATTATATTATCTATTGCCTACACTACGTGCCATAATTAGAAAGCTATTTAGGGTATTATTTTTTCAGGGAAACTATTAAAGATTGATTAAATCGTTTAGGCCCATAACTAGAAAACTATGAATAATAATATATATTTATATAGTTTTATTAATGATTTAAATATAATAATTTGAAAGCACTTGTAATTATTATTATTTTATAAATATCAATAAATGCTAATCGTGAATTGATGGACATATTCAAAGGTTGAGTTATTAGGTCAAGTTCGAAAATCCAAATTCGAGAGAATTGAAAATGATTTCTGACAAAAAATTAAACATATTTAAAACATGGTTTAGCCTCGGATTTTAACATTTCGAACTCGGTTTAACCTGTTTTATTAATTACAATATATTTTTTATTTTATTTGTATATATCAAATAATTTATATCATATAAATATTAAATTTATAAATGATATACAATACAATAATATAAATATTAAAAGAATGTTAAGTTGTCTATATGAACAAAATTTAAAAATAAATTTATTGCACAAACCAAATGATATTGGTGGTAAATGAATTGTTGTTCATCCTTGAGGTCTTGGGTTTGAACAACATAAATGTCACGGGTGTCGGTGTTAATGTCAAATGGTTGATAGTTATTTTTAAATATATATATTACCTTATACTTACCTCAGATTAATAAAAAATATAAATTAATTAATTTATATAATTAATTATTAAAATTCTATACCTAATTTAAGTTTTTGGTTGAATTTAGTCTTGTCGATTCATCAATCACTAATTTAATTGAAAAATCCAATATTATTTTAATTTATGAATTACAATAAATATTTATTATAAAAATATTATTATATTTTCATTTGTTTGTAAATTCAATAAAATTATTAAGATTCATTACTCAACCTAAGTTCAATTTGATGATACCTATAAACACCTTTGATCATTAATATCATTAAATTTTAAAATCAGTTTTTTATATAATTGTTATTAAAAATATGTTTTAACCCCTTAATTTTATAAATTTAAATTTATTTCTAACATAAAATAATACACCATACAGTATACACACGTGCTATTCATAAACCTTACACATTAATTAAATTGACCCGAACTAGTGGGATAACAAATTGCGATTAAAATTTAGACGTGACAAGTTTTTTTTTTTTTTGTCATTGTAGTTGATGTTAGCGATGCACGAGCAAGCCATCTCTTGCAGCATATTATTTAGGGCGGGAAAGTTCATTAGATGCATCCAAAGCCATACACATGTGTATGTATACTTGATGGTTCGTATTTGAGAGTAATAACATCATGTTACAAATTGCATCTATTTCCATTTTAATCAGTATTTGTTAATTTCGAAAGTAATAATAAACCCGTACAATTGTGGCTGTATTAGCTACCGAAGAGATGCATCTAACTTAACTCAAGCAACTTGCTGCAAATTCCCATCATTAAAACGATTATGACAGCTACAATATATAACCATTTTATTTATTTTAGTTATTCATTAAAAGTTTAGGCTAGGAGTGACTCTCTCGGTCCAGTATCAAAGTATACCTAAGATTCAATTGAGATTTATATAAGAACTTATAGAATGTCCACTAAATGTGACGATGATAGGATTCAAACTTGATCCTACAAGCTTAAATTTTTTAATCTCAATCATTTGTATCAACACTTGTTGTTATTTTATTTATTTTGGGATTTATATTTAACTTATTCATAATATATAATTTTACGTATCATTATTTAATTTATGGATAATACATATTATACTCGTTTAATATTATTTTAATTAAAGTATGTTAGGTTATTTCTTCTTACACCTCCCAAAATATCAAGACATTAAATTAAAGCCTCTTAAGAGTGTGATATATGTATTTTTAATCCATAATGTCAAAAGTAATAATCATATCTTAATCACTAATATAATTATTAATTAATACTTTGATTAGTCAAAGACACCCAATCCCCTCTCCCCCTTTTTTTCAATGAAAATGACCTAAAAACAATATTTGTTATTGTTGGTGAAAAGAGGTAGGTTGGGAGGTAATTAAATTAAAATGAATTTAACTAAAAGAATTAGATAATTAATCCCAAGTCCCTTCCCCTTCTCTCTTTTTAATTAGACTTGCAAACTTGACCCAAAGACGATTTATCCAACCCAATACCTGATGTTAACCTGAATATGATGATCAAATTTGATCTAAAACTCGAACCATATCCGATTCAAAATTTAACTGACATGAATCTATATCCAATTTGACTAGAATCTAAAACAATTCAAACCAAAATTAATCCAAACTGAAAGCAACCTGATCCAAAATTAATTCGAACCGAAAGCAACCTAAATCAGAAATCTATATATACTTTATTAGACTTATAACTAAATAAAATCTAAATGATAAGATTAACAAATGAAAACATTTTTACAATAATATATCAATAATTCTACATATATTTGATTAAACTTATAACCAATTTAATCTGAATTGACATGATTCAAAGGTTGACTCAAATAAAAAATTAATCGATCTGATATTGACCCGATCCAAAAATCAACCAATCCGAACCAAAAATCAATGCTCTGGTAGTCACCCGACCCAAAAAATTGACCCAGCTGAAAGTTGACCCAACTCGCTACCCGACCCGACCCAATTTACCATACACCTGAACTAAATCCGAACCAGACTCGATCTGACCCGGATAAAATTAAACCGAATATAATCTAAACATAAAATGATCCAACCCAAACTCGATCCGAATGACCCGTTCGCCCCTATATTTGGAATACAATAAAATTATTATTTTGATTATACTGGACGAGTCCAATGGTGAAACACGAGGTAGCGACCAACCAAAATTAGATAAGTCATTGTTGGAAAGCTGGTAGTTGGATAAGTAGTATTGAATTCAACAGAAAGACTTTGATATGTTTGGAGGAAAAGAAAAAAAGAGAAAGGGAATTCTTTGCATATGGACGGCCAGACGGTGTTTAGGGAAGCAACAGTCAAATTAGCAACAAAATTTGGTATCGAGTCGACTTACAATTCATGATAGTTAACCCACTTTGCTTTATTAGATATATGCTCAAATTGATTATTTAAATCCCATTTTTGTATTAATTTATTGAAAATCATAAAATAAAGAGTTGAAACGGAGTATATTGGTTTTTTTTTTTTTTTGAATTTTGGATAATCATCTCTCTATTTCAAAAGAATTCACTTTTTATATTTTGCTGACATCTTTTTAATTTGGTTGGGACACAAGGGCAGTTTAACTGCTTTACGTAGTTAAGTCATGAAATTCTCAATTTTTAGGTTACAGCCATCATGTAAAAGCTGACAATTTGATGAATTAAAGATAATTTTATCGAAATATCACCTGACAAGTAATAGTTACCTGACAAACACATTTTCTCCTATTCTGATAAGGTGTGGATCGTCATCTGTGTCTTTGTAATGTTTTATCCGAGCTGGCGACATGTCAAGACAGATGAGACTGCATCTTTCTAAGGTTTTTGACATGCGTCAGTAAGGTGCGGATGGTGATCCACACCTTCCATTATTAGTTTCATCCGAACAGTTCGGCCTTTAAACTCTCCGCTCCCCTATAAACCACATCAATTCCTTCTATTTTTTGCTTTACAAATTCATTCTATTTTTGTTGTAAGATAAAATTATTTTTTATTATATTATATTTATTTTGTATATGATTATTTGAAAAAAAAATTATTGTACTAATTATTTTGTATTATTTTTTACGGTTGTAAAATTGGAAAGTGTGATCATACCTTAAGACATTTTTGCCGACACGGTAACAATATAAAATTATATTATTTAAATTATTGTGAAATTTTTTAATTTTTTGTTAGTTTATATTTTAATTCATATACTATTTATTTAATTAGGCGTATTTCAACTATTTTTTTTGCAGATATAAGAATCTCAATCTTTCAAACTCTCAGAATGAGGCGTATTTCAACTATTATTTACTATGATGGAGAAATTCGGGAAGATGAAACCAACGTCGTCTTCGCATCAAATCATTATGTCAGAATATCCTTCAAGAGAAACACAATTCTTGAGAAGTTGATAACGAAAATTTTAAGGAAGGTTTATGTTGGAAGTACTAGAAGATTGTCCTCACTTCAGTACAGATTTTCAACCGCAGTATTTCCGTTAACTTATACAACGTTCAAACTATCCAACGATGACGATGTTGTTATGATGGTTGATTCTCAAAATCATTATTCAGATGTCGATACAAAGACGTATGTGAAATTTGTTGAAGTATGTGTTATTCGTGGTATGTCATTATGCTACCACTATGGGCTAGCTCAACAAGCTGATTAAGTTGG